CTTGGAGGGGAACCTGAAGGTGATGGTGTTCCCATATGTCTGCTTCCTATGTCCTTCTACATGGAAGTGGTCATGCATTTGGAAGGTGCTGTCTGAGGATCTTTGGTGGATTTCTGCAGTACATCTTGCAGATATTACACACTGCTGTGACTGAGCGTGGGGGTTGGAGGGAGTGGATGCTTATGGATGTAGTCCCAATCAAGTGGGCTGCTTTGTGCTGGATGGTGTCGAGCTTCTTGTGTGTTGTTGGAGCTGCACTCATCCAGGCAAGTGGGAAGGATTCCATCACACGCCTGACTTGTGCCTTGTAGATGGTGGACAGGCTTTGAGGAGTCAGGAGGTGAGTTTTTCGCCATGGTATTCCTATCTTCTGACTTACCCTTGTAGCCATTGTGTTTATGTGGTGAGTCCAGTTGAGTTTCTGGTCAATGATAATCCCCAGGTTGTTGATAGTGGGGAATAAGTCATGGTAACACCATTAATGTCAAGGGGCAGTGGATAGATTGTCTCTTATTGGTGATGGTCATAGACTGACATTTGTGTGGCATGAATATCACTTGCCATTTGACAGGCCAAGCCTGGATATTGTCCAGATCTTGTTGCATTTGAACATGGACTGCTTCAGTACCTGAGGAGTCGCGAATGGTGCTGAACATTGTCCAATCATTGGCGAACATTCCCACTTCTGACCTGACAATGGAGGGAAGTTCATTGATGAAGCAGCTGAAGATGGTTGGGCCGAAGACACGACGCTGAGGAAGTTAGACGACAAGCCCTTGTTGCTGATGATTTGTAAATCTGCAGAGAATATCTCTGCGATTGAGGTGCACAAAGCTCTTCAATAATGGTCCCTGAAAATTAGTTTGATATCTTTGACTGACCTGGATGCAGAAAAAATTTACAAGGATGTTGCTTGCACAGCAGGCTTGAGTTGTAGGGAGAAGCTCGATACGCTAGGACTTTTTTTTCCAGGAGCTTTGGATGAACGTCGAACAATACAGTACAGGAACCTGCCCCTCAGCCCTCCAAACCTGTGCTGACACATTTTGTCCTTCCACACTCTCGGTCTCTTTACTGACAGGATCTGTATCCCTCTATTCACTTCCTATTCATGTACTCATTCAGGTGTTTCTCAAATGCTGCTCCTGTGTCTGCATCCACCAACTCCTCTGGCAGTGTGTTCCAGGCACTCCCCACCCTTTGTGTGAAAAACCTGCCTCGCACATCTCTTATAAACTACCCTCCTCACACCTGGAACCTGTATCCCCAGTTAATTCGCACCTTCACCCTGTGAAAAAATTCTCAAACTTTCCATTCTATTCATGGCATTCACAATCATATAAACCTCAACCTCCTGCATTCCAGTGAAAACAAACCCAGTCGATCCAACTTTTCTTCATGGCTAATATCCCCCATACAAGGCAATATCCTGGTACCCTCTCCAAAGCATCAAAATTATTCTGGCTGTGTGGTGACCAGAACTATACTTAATAAGCTGAGGGGTGAACTTATGAAGGTTTATAAAATCATGAGAGGCATAGGTATGGTGCGTAGCCAAGATCTTATTGCAAGGATAGGGGAGTGCAAAACTAGAGGGCATAAGTTCAAGGGGGACGCTAAATATTTAAAAGGGACCTGAGGGACAACATTTCCACACAGCGGATGGAGTGAGTACGGAATGAGCTGCCAGAGAAAGTTGTAGGTACAGGTACAGTTACAATATTTAAAGATATTTGGAGATGTACATGAATAGGAAAAGTTGAGCGAGATATGCACCAAACGCAGGCAAATGGGACAAGTTACATTTGGCATACCTGGTGGGCACGGTGGAGTTGGACCAAAGGGTATGTTTCTGTGCTGCATAACTTCATGACTCTATGACTATATGTCCTTAATTTTCATTTCGGCAGATCTTGACCGAATGATTTTGTGCCCTGTGTATTAATTTAATCCCACATAAAAGGTCTCTTCACCTTAACTGAGAATAATGTAAGTTTGAGTGAAACTTATCAGTAATGTTTCACTTTTGTTTTGATCAAGTAAGATGGCAAAATCGGCATTGTTAACTTACAAAATTATTTATTGATCCAATATACATACATATATAAATAATCCACATCATTTCTGAGAATTGCACAGTACCGTTTTCCAAGTTCAAAGCAATTAATTTAACAAAATTTTTATTTTGATCACCCATTAACAGAAATTCATTGCTGCTTTTGAACAATTCTTACATCTTTAAAAGTTTATTCAAACAAAGTCTTAAATGTCCATCTGTTCTTCATTTTTCTTGTTCCCCACATCCTTCCCACTCTCCTGTTTCTTTGCCTCTTGGTCAGGAATGAGCCGGGGAGTGGTTGTTGTGTCTGAGGTGATGTTGATGGGGACGGTCCGTTCATTCACAGCTGGCAATGCCAGGCTTGGAGCTTGGACCTTTAACTGACCATCCTGTGACAAACAGCATCGAAGAGCTTCAGCATCGACATCCTCTGGCAGCTGGAATTCTCTCCTGAACTCTTCATATTTGTAGCTGTAAGAGCCACTGCCATCATCACATTTCTTCTCGTGTTTTCCTGTCACCAG